CCGGTTTCGTGATTGTGGCAAAAGGTATTCTTCGGCAATGTATTTTTTGCCGCATATGCATGTAATGTTGTAAACTCCTGGCATCTCAAATGGAATTTTATCATTGACGGACCGAAGATGTTAAGAGACTTTTGGGCAAGTGGTAAATCTGGTTTTGACTTTGTATTTCTCCGCCCCCCTCAAACAATATTTAAACAGGTACACAGTAAAATGCGAGCCAGTTGCAGTCAAGCTCTGAAGAAGCCAACAGGATGATTGGCCAAACATCAGCAAGTTCGACTCAGCAAAAACCGACGCTGGAGCAATCCAGAAGTTTTGTAAAAAGTATTACAGTACCCTGAAACTGGCCAGCATTTTACTCTGTACCTGCTTTTATATTGTTTGAGGGGCCGGAGCTAAATGAGGAACATAAACACTATCTCGGATCACTGATTCCCATATTGGTGACAAGTAGAGACCTGAGTCGTGGTTAAGATTGTTAGGGTGCTTGTAAATTTCAATAGATTTTCAGATTTTTCGTTGGTAGAAGAATTGATTACATGCAATAATTTTAGTTTTATTGAATGAAATTTTATGTCCGGTTTCATGATAACGATCTTCCATCTCAAACAGCTAATGAAATTCGATTTGAAATCCAAAAAAAAAACTTCCTAAAGTTAATATTCCAATGCCGGCGTTGCTCTCAAATTTCGTACTCCTAAAAGCAGATAAAAGATATGCATACAACTGAAATTCAGGTAAAGATTCAAGATATTTCAGATGGATTATATCATCAACTTAAAAAAGATCCTACTTCATCTGTAGAATGCAATCTTAAAGCTGTTATTAAGGGTTCTTTTCTATCCCACTCCGTAAAAAAGTCTGTCACCCCTCATGACTCTAAAATTTTATAGCGAAATATCTAGCTTCTATATTAAAAACCTTTACAGGGAAAATTGTATTCTGGTTAGTTTCGATGTAGAATTCTTTACTGCCTATGCCTGAAACTCTCAACATCATTTCAGATATATTAAAATCCTAGAATCTGGAACCCAACCTTCTTACCTAAATTGAAAAATTCTTGTCTGGCACATATATTTCTTATAACGGGCAAATTTGTGAACAGTTATCGCGAATATATTTATGGAAGCCTTTGAGAAGCAAGCTCTCGACACCTTTCATCTAAAACCAAAATTATGGAAACGCTACGTCGATGATACATTTGTTATTTGGCCTCATGGTCAAGAAACCCTAGTAGATTTTCTTAGACATTTAAACTCGATACACCCTAACATAGGTTTTACCATTGAGTTGGAAGCTAATAATAACCTGCCATTCTTAGATAATCTTATCAATAGAAAATCAGACCTAACATTAGGTGTTTTTGTTTACAGAAAACCTATGCACACAGACCGATACCTTAATACAAGGTCATATCACCATCCGGCCCAAAAATCATCGGTTATCCACTTTTGTTTACAGAGTCGTAAAAGTATGTCAGCCCGAGTCACTGAACCTAGAATTAAAACACCTTACCTCTGCTTTTTTATCTAATAATTTCCACATTAAAGATATTAAATGTTCCATCACAAAATACACTTCACCACAACCTGCCAATAGCAAGGAGTCCGAAAGCAAGTCCACTGTTGCCGTTTCTTACATTCAAAACATCAGTGAACACATAACAAAAGTTCTTAAGAAATATAACGTCAAACCAGACAAAAAGAACATGAAATGGTTTTAAGGCTAAGACAAATAAACTCATCAGCAATTGCCGAACAGAATAATGAAATCGGACATAAAATTTTATTAGATAAAACTAAAATCCTTGCATGTAATCAATTCTTCTACCAACGAAAAATCCGAGAATCTATGAAAATATCTAAATAACCAAACAAACTTAACCGCGACTCAGGTCTGTAAAGTCTGCCCCCCTCAAACAATATATAAGCAGGTACAGAGTAGAATGGGAACCAGCTTCAGTGAAGCTATGAAGAAGCCAACAGGCTGATTGGCAAAACGTTAGCAAGTTCGACTCAACAACAACCGATGCAGGAGAAATCGAGAAGGCAATTGTTTTTATTTTTCAAGAAAGGTACTCTACAATCGTTTCTGAAATAATTTCTGCTAAAAGTAAATGCAGAACTCCTTTGTGCTACAGTCGTTGACATGTTCTAAGCTAGTGACGAACAAAAGTTAATTGTGCCATTAAAACCAAGCGAAATGAATATCAAGTATTAAGTTACAAACGAAGAGTTTAATATACTTTCCACGACACATATACGAACAAACCATCAAGGAATGCTTAAAGAATTGCAAGTTAAATACAAATATATTAGTTATGAAGTAGTAATGCTCTATTTAAATTTGTGTAAACGAAGTAAAATGAAACACACAAAAAAGGTATTGTTGTAAAACCATTGGTGGGTTCCGAATCAAAATCAAATCGATTTGATAGACTTGCAACCACACAGCGATTGCGATTACAAATTTATAATGGTTTAACAAGATCACTTGATCAAGTTTGTCCAGTTACGACCGTGAAAAACCAAAAGAGCGTAAGAAGTAGCATATTAATTCTTTCAATTTTTTTATGTATTTGGTGTTACCGCTATATTGCATTCGGAAAATGGCAGAAAGTTCAGAAATCGAGTCAGTGATTCAAATAAATGGTAAGAAGAGTTGTCGTTTGTACTCCAAAAACACAACTTACCATGAAGGACTACGCCAAAGTCCATATGAAGCGTTAAACCAAAAAGAAGCATAGCATCGTCATCCCCATGGTCATCCCCAACGAACAAATTAAAAATGTTGAAGCCGAGAACCAGCCAGAAGCTTACGTTAATACTTGTAAAGAAAATTTAGTTAATGACCATATTGATGACCATGTTTCAAATGAGACCAATTCACCTTCATCCCTTGTGTTAACTAATTCGGAACCCAGGACGTCTATATCTGAAATTCCGAGTGATCTACAACCCAGCACGATTTCAATTCAAATATTGACTAATCTACAACCGATTACACCTTTATCTAGGCAGCACCAGCTTGTTAATTCAAAAAGAGTAAGTGCAGAAGAGAATATACTACTCAATCAACAAAAATGTTGGGAACAAAAAAAAAGTTTACTGCCATCCATATTGGTGATACTTTAAGAATTAAAGTCTCTGACGTTGACCGTGGTCATACAGATCCCCGAAATGTGTTAGCCATTGTTGCTGGAATAAAGGATTTACACTTTTCTAAATTAGAAAGCAAAAATGACACCTGGAGGTAGCTTTTCACCAGTAATCAATTTGCAATTTGAAAGGAAAAGTTAATTTCTGTAGATGAGATTTTAGCTCAAGAAATTTCGGTAAGCTTCTGCTAATTCAAAAAGTGGAGGGCAAGCAAGTCACGTTGTAGCAGCAAAAAGAAGTATTCCAGGTCTAAATGGTTTTTTTTTTATTTTAGTATAAGAAATAAAATTCATTTTATTTTTATATTAATATTACATGTGTTTGTTGTATTTGTTTTAAGTTGAACAACTTCCTTATGTTCATCTGAAAACGTCTTCCTTGTTTTAATCGAAATAAATAATAACCTATGAAGTTTTATTGTATTTTCTTTTTATAAAAAAATCTTTTGAACATACACCATGAGTGTATGATGAATGTTCACTTTCGCGGTAACATATATAAGACATTTTTTATAGAAATAAAATGAAACAGGATAATTTTATTTACTTCAATAAAAATGAGGATCCTTTACAGCTTTGGGGAACTATTTATTGAATTTTTTCGGGTACAAACCCTATTTCAATAGATAAATTAGGTTATCCAGCGTCACAAGATTAATTAGGGTTATTTCAGAAGAGGAGTGGAACATTTGTTTAGTGGAACCTTTTTCTTTAAGGCGACATGCAAGAAATGAGATAAGTACAAGCTTTAAACTTCCCGATGGATTTGCAACCAAATTTAATCGAAATGCGAATTTCACTAAACGGCTAGCTTTAATTGATTATTGACTAACTTGAAGTTACAGAAAGGTTCCAGTGTTTCCAAATTTCTTTTAGTTGTGTTATTTGACAAAAAACGAATAAATCAGTTTGGACGATTATTTCAAAAAATGAGGAAATATATGTTACTTAGACTATAAATTTATAGAAAAACCTTTTAGTACAATTTGCCTATTAAAATAAGGCAACTTTTTTGTTTTGGTTAGTTTTCTATTAAAATGTAGATACTTCTTATTAAATATCCCAGCAGATGTTTAACAAAAAAACAAATAGATTATAATTACTTTTTCTGCCGGTTTTTTGTAAATTATTGAACATGTTAAAGTGTATTTGTTCAAAAATGATATTATGTCTCCTGGTTTGCCAACATTGCTAAAAGGCAGAACTCAAAATGTTGATAAGACTTATGTATCCTAACCTTGTAGAAATTAACAATAGTATATTATGCAATAAGTACGGTAAACGGCATTTGACTCACGAGTTTATTTGACACGAGCGGAGAGAGTGTTTAATAAACGAGTGACTTAAAAAGTTTACCGAACGTGTTGCATACGATCGTTAGTTTTTGGGTATATTGTCGCAAAGCAACAAGAATACATTCATTAACATGACCGTTAGAATTGACAAACGCCAAAATTCAAAGCGTAGGAAATATCTCCGAAAACATCCGAATGACCTCAAATCAGTGCGGTAAAATCCCCGAAATGTCCGAAGTAGCTTGGATTCATGGAAAACGAAACTGACGTGGTACAGACGAGAGTAGAAAAACTCATTTAAGCAATCAGAAATCTACCTGATTCTTTTATCTTTTGCTTTATAAGAGAAAATTTTTACTCGCGGTCTATGAAAAATACTACATAACAGGAAAATAACAAGTAATATGGCTAGTTTAGATAACAATTGAAAGCGTAAAAGAAAATGTCAATATTAAAGCACTTTTCGACGATATATTTGCGTTCCATCGAAGTATCAAAACCGCCTTAATTTAAATTAATTTGATCCATTAGTGCTAGCAATTACTTACCTATAACGTTTAACCTCACCCTTAAGTTCTTAGTGGGTGACCTTAAGTAATCGATTCGGCACCGATATTCTCTTTCATCGCTTTGACTCACATTGTCGATACTGAGGGTTGCAGGATCGGTCATCGTTCTGAAAAAGGCCCTGGGCTCCAAATTTACGTCCTTCCAATGACTAGGTCTGGCAGCAACCGACCCTCGGGTGTCGTAACTAGAAACAATGAAACTCTGCGTTAACAAAGGTTAATTACTTTGGTTGATGAATCGCGGGACATGGATAATCAAGAAATCTAATTTAGAGCTTTATAACATTACTATTTTTAGATACATCTTTCAGGTATATGCGCTTAACAAAGTTCAAAAAAACCAGTTAATCCAATTAATTAGACACTAATTTGCAAAATTTGGTTAACATATAGCTGCAGTTATTAAATTGTGGCCGTCCGCGGAAAAGCAGGTGATTTCATTTATGAAGCTTGGTTCTTACAACAATCAATAGGGCACATATACTGTCAAGTACAATGTGATCAAAGTCGAAATCGCAACTCCACAAATGACTAAAGCAGTATCTGTTATTTACTTCAACTTGTTCTGAGTGTGAACAGAAGAATCCCGCAGCAGCTCTACTTAAATTACTTCTTTTTCAAGCTATAGAGCGGTCGTGTTAATATGCTCAGATGAAGAAGGTGGAGAGTCAAGTCACTAAACCCGAATGAAGAAACTAAAGAAAATTTTGAACCGAACAACGGAAAACAAATAGTACAAAGAAAGTGTGGCTTGGCTGGCGATATATGTGAGCTACCTAATCTTGCTTTTGCGCATTGAACTTATAATATACCACTATGGAAATTTTGTGTCAGAATTTAGTCGCTACTAAGAAAACTGGTTTCAACCTTTGGGCGAAATTTTTCCCATTGCGTAATAGTAAATCTATTTAGAATGTGAAGCAATTTCATAATATACAGCGTGGTGCAAATAACTATAGCACACAAAATATTTAGGATTTTTACTAATCTCTAATACATTTCAATATCTGATTTGGACTGATTATTTTAAGCACACATTTACGCATTCTACTCTGACGCGTAATAATTTTGACCAACCATAGAAATTTTGGTAGGCATTTGGAAGTTTTCACTATTTTAGATGCTGAATTTGGGTTTTTCAAAGAAACTCATTTAGCTCCTCCCCCCCTCAAACAATATATAAGCAAAGAAACTTCCACAAGCTACTGTAATAATTTTTACAATACTTCTGTATTCCTCCTGCGTCAGTTTTTGGTGAGTTTCAGTCAAGCTCTGAAGAAGCTAACAGGATGATTGGAGAAACGTCAGTAAGTTAGACTCAGCAAAAACCGACGCGGGAGGAATCCAGAAGTTTTGCAAATAGCTGAATTTGGGTGTTAAACACTAATTAAAAAGTTACTTAAAATTTGTTTGAGCTATTTAGTGTGTGGAATAACCAACTATTTGACAAACATAATAAATTGTCGAATCTACTCTTTTATTACGGGAATTTTTACTACCTCTCGTAGACGGGCTTACAGCACCCATCAAAGTAAATACAGGTAGAGTAATTGACAAGTTTTTTCGTTCCATTCTTGTCGATACCAAATTGTTACCAAAAACTTTATTATGAAAACTCACAACTTGTGACGATAAGCGGTTATTTTTTGCGATTTTTGTTAACAATACTTGTGCAACGTAAAGTGCCATCAAACTTTCAACGCGTTCAAGGTTGAACGTCATAATTCTGAAACTCAGTTCGTTTGGTACCGTTTTACAATGGCACTATAGCGAGAATATTCAGCTAAATTTCACCCACTTGGAACGCTAGTAAACAGAACTCCGCTTAGTAAACTTACAGCGGCACATTCGGCTCTAGATATGCGAACAAATAAACAATTTTGCATTAGTCAAACGAGGGCCAGCAAATGTTGGCGTTAACTGCCGAATTATACGATAGGATGCACGAGGCAAGAACAAGTTCAAACAGTCGTCTACTAACTGAATATTATGCAAATTTCTCACATTTACATACTTTGGAAGCCGTTAAAGAAGTTTAATCTTCCGCCTTGATTTTTGATTATCATATTTTCATGCATACAAATTTCGGCATATTATGGGTTTCCTCAAATAATGCAAGTTTACTCAACAACTCTTTCCGCTAAAAAAGAGTAAAAACTGGCAAGCACGCATCCCGTTTAACTGGATGAGAAGATCCAAAGAAAAACTATATTTAAAGACAAAAGAAGAATAGCACGATAAAAGCAGTTAACATTGATCATTTAGCTGCTATAAAGATAGCAAATTCGATTTTCCATTAGATCGTAAAATATATATAAATTTTAGTGTTACCTTCAAAGCGTGGTTTTTATTTTTTATTCTATCTGGCACCGACACAATATGTGCCGCGCCGTTTCCGCATCCTTCTTACACAACCTGCACTCATCGCAGTCCGACCTGCCGATTTTGTTCAAGGTTGTGCTAAGGTTGCAGTGTCTGGTCTGGGAACAGGTTAAAATTTGCCTTGCTCATGCTTAACAGGCGGTCGATGGTGTGTAGTGTGTTTCTGCGTAAGACATTTTATTAATATCTTTGAACGGACTAGTTTTGATAGTGGTAGCCAGTATAGGCAAGCTTCCCTTACTTCCAAGCGAAGAGCATTTCTTGATGATACGCTGTGATTCTATCGATGATGTTTCTGGCGCCTTCAGCGACAGAAGGTTTGTTTTTCATTACACTCCAGGCTACTGTGTCCAGGTATCCATGTCAAGGTTGCCTTATGTTGGTTGCCATTAACATGGATGAACCTGTTGGCAGCTTCGTACTATTTTGGAGGAACATCCAAGCGATTTCAACACAATATTTGAATGGTGCCTGCACATCCGAAGTACAATGATGTTTCCCTGAGTGAGTTGCTCTTCTACAAGCATTTTGTCACATAACTCTATTCTGGAATATGTATCTCCGTCTTCGGATGTTCCCATAGATGCACGCAACAATCACTGGACAGTTTCTGCTTTAATTAACTGTGTTCGTGTGAGACGTTGGCTAGGCTCTAATGCTAGTGTTAAATTACCGTTATTATATTTGTATTTTAAAATTTTCCTTATAATAGCCAAAGAATCAATACGAGTCGTACCAGAATCACTCGCCCAATGTTTAAAAATCAGACTCTCGGGTTGAATTTTGAGTTTTTTTGGGAATATCATTGAACAGGAAGAGGAATATAGCGCACTAGGGAGTCGATCTCGGAGTCAATATTGCCCCTGCCCTCTAGGACGTGCTTCTGTATAGATAGCGGCGCAGCTTTGTACATAAAAAAAGGTTTTATACCTAAATTGTAGTGATGTACAGAGAAACAACAATTTTTTGTTTTTAATATTCGAAAAAAAAGACGTTTTGCTTATGGCGTTGAAGTTAAGTCAACAAATTGTGAATCTGACAGGAATTATTCTTGTCTTAAAAAAATAAATCATGATAACTTCCTGATCAGCAGAACCAGCTATTCAAACGTGGAAAATGACGTCACCGCGGGTCATTTAATTTAAAGTTTCTCGTGCTATTAATTGTTATTTTCCCCAAAGCGTTTTATACATTCATGAAATATATCGAAGAAATAGATTGTTTGTATTCTAAATATGTAAAACATATAATACGGTAAATATTATGTACGCTTGACACCAGTAAAATAAGATCGATTTAATGAGCTTTAAAGATCAATAAAAGTATTCGTGTTATAAATTAGTTGAGTGATCATGCAAAATATCGTTTACTAAATTAGTTATTATTTGCTATTATTACCAAAAAACTGGTTTTAAAAACTGGAAATGTGACGATTGCTCGACGTTGTCACATTATTTAATCAAGTTTTTCGTCTGTTGACTCAGTGATGAAACTGATTGAATATAAATTGTGTGTGGAAGGAAAAAAAATCTGTATTATTCGGACATATGAATGGATCACTGCGCATTATCAAGTTAATCCATGATCGCGTTGAATGCAGTCAAAGTTATACATCAAGGACGCTAGCACTACTGCGTTTTATTAGTTTGTTGCAAAATCGTAGGTATTGAATTGGAATTGGCGCTTTTTATGTTGTGTGTGTTGTGTTATGCAGTGATCCATCTGCGAGAAACATCTTGTAATTATAAAAACAAAGACGGTGTAAGTTTAAAGTTTTTTTATTATCAACAGGTGATAAGTAGATGATGACTGCCGCTCCATCTTGTTGGCCAGTTTGTAATCTCCCTAACTAAATTAATTTCCGGCCTTAGTTCGTTTTTTGCCTCTTTTGTATGACGAAAGAGTCTACTCAATCTCATTTCAGGCAAAATTAAAGAACAACAAAAATTTATTTGTTGTTATACACTTATCTGAAAATAATAATAGAGTATACTCGCGGTTACGATTTCCCTTACTAAATACCTATTTTCGATATCTTTTGAAGATTCAACACTTTATTTTTTATATTGATTATCCATTGTTGTGTATCTGACTGGAGATATTAACTACAAAACCTTATACGACTTCTGTATCAATTTTGGTCTGGAACCGATGCTAAAAAATTACCTTTAAGCTGTTTCAGCAAATTGTGGTCAATTTGTGATTGTAAAAAGAAAAATATCATTCGAGCTTAAATTTGCCATTATAGACACACTTGTATAATTTAGATGTTACGATAATGGCAAAGTGTTTATTTGCAAGCTTTACAATATCTGTGCGGAACATCTTTCGATTCCGTAATGGGTTATAACGACCAGTAACCGCATGTGCCTTATTGCTTTCTTCTCCGAGACGCTCCTCGTTTATGTGTCACATTAAGGGCGAGTTTTCCAAATGGATTTTAGAACGCGTCCCGGCGACGTCGGTCCAAAATTATTGTATTTTTTGGTCTGTTCTTATTGTCGGACACTACGCTACAAGTCGGAGTCGTTTATGACGTTTTTCTTTTCTCAAGACGAGGTAATATTGAAGTTTGACGATTGCACGTTTCGTTTGTAAGTAAGAAAGTTTTTAAAGTCCATGGCTCCGATTGTATTTTGTCAGTATCTTAGTCATTTATTTGGCTTTCAGTACACATCTGACATAGTTCGTTTAAACAAGTTCTTGGCTTCACAGTGTACAGTGATTCCCAAGTTTGCTGATAGCTAGTATATCCTGGCTTCGGTATTACTAAACTACTTTATTATCAGAAATTGAATGGCTG